CAAGGTTGGGTTCTACCAGAACGCCAACACCGGCCTGAGCGCGAGTCGTGATATCGACGCCTAAGTAGAATAGCTTCCATCCATTGAGTTTCACGAGTTTAGAGCCTGGGCGTTTTGTTGATGAGAGTCCAATAATTTCGAGTTGGTACCTCGTGGCCTCATCATCTAACTCTTGTTCTTTTCATCTGAGTGAGGATATGTTCTAATTTCCAACTTTAAGCTCCCTCTGGTGGTGTCATTCTCATGAACCTTTTTCTGACTTGCTATACTGGCATCGCTCTGTCTGCCTCCTCCTTTCAGAATGGGTAGCGGCTACGTTGCTGATTGGTATCTTCGTCATCGTTCCATCGATCTTTGTCAGCCATTGTTGTGATGCTACGCCCCCAGGTTCTGATCGCCGACTTTTTGCAGTCTGCCTCAGTCCTCCAACAGCCTGCGCGGCCGTTGGTAGTCCAGGCGACGACGGAGCGATTATAATGTCCGATGATGTGAATACCACAAAGGGCAGGTGGCAAAATTTTAATGTAAACCTCGCAACCTGCAGCTTTTTCATCCGGGTTTGGGACCTGCTACGACTTAGTCGTTAATGTATGTAGTTGTCCCTACATGAAATGTTCTTAAACAAACGCACTAGTGTAAAATAAATATAAAACGCACTAAAGAATAATGAATGAAAATAATGTTAAATTGATCAGTGGGATATAAGTTTGTGAGAATGTACCTGTAGATGAGTAAAATATCACTACATGCTCCTCGCTGAAGTTTATCATGGCAGATGACGAGATAGGGTTTAGTAGGATTTCGTGGTATGACATTAGATATTTTGACTTCGCAACTGTTGATTCTGCGCAGCTGCTTTACTTCCATCTCGAAATGGCTGAATGGGACATGTTCCATATCCATGAGATCTAAAGCTTCTGTGAGATGTTTTGGTCGATGATGTCGAAATGTCGTTGGATGTTCTTTAAACCCAGTTGTGACAGCTGGCAGGTGAACGCATGTAGTTTTTTTGGATGAAAACGTAGCTGTCTGTGCAGATTAACTGCTGTTTATATTAAACCAGGATGTGATACAAACCAAACATGACAGAATTTTCGTTATTCATTCATACAGAAACAGGATTCAGTCATCCAAGCTTTGTCGCGTGCTTTGAAAAAATAAAAGCGTAAAACCAAAAGCTGCACTTCTGGCAAACTCGAAACGGAATTAAATCAAAAATTATTTAAAAGATTGGCCATTGTCGGAACGACATTCGCACCGTTTGTGGATTACCTGAACATCGATTATAAAAAGCGCAGGTTCTGCAGCCAATTAAATTTTCGGCGTTATGAATGCGGTTCATTCGAGCTTGGTGTCCGTGCTGACCTTGGAGGTGGACTGCGAATTTGTGCTAAAGTAGATGAAAGTCATGGCGGCTCCCAAGCGACTGCACATTTCGTGGAACTCGACGTCATGCGCCCATTCGACACGTCCCCACGTCTTCATCTGGAATTGCTGTTCCAAAGTGGTCAAGTCGACAGCCTCTTCGACGGTGATGCGGCCCTCCATCAATGCCAACAGCAACAACACGCTTTTGAGAACCTCTGCCGCATAGCTGCAGCCGATGAGCGCGTCGAATCCGTACGCTGAGAAGTAACGCATAATAGTATCCTTTGATTTTGCCGGTATCAGCGGAGGACGAAGGTCAAAGGACGGTTCCAAATGGATGTTATAACGTTTCTGAAGCAGAAATGTACATCAACAGCATTTAAACAATACAACAGAAGATATGAATTAGAGCCAAGAAATTCTATGGCCCTCCATTATCGTAAGGCGTGAGTAAAATGGGGACTGCATTACAACCTTCGTTATTAAAATTATATGACTGATTCATATTTAATAATATGAATTGAAATCAGTCATGATGTTAAACGACGTTTACTATAAAGACAGCATACGAGAAAAGATTTTTACAGTTTAAGTTACTGTTCAACTGGTCTTAACATTTAAGAACTTAACATG